CAGAGTGAAACAAAGTAAAACCAGCTGATGAATCAGGCTAGGATTGAGTCACTTCTCCACAGATCCAACGTGTAACATGGCCTAGTGGCGTGCCCTGCTTGTCATGTCCAGAAAAGTTTAATGTCATATTGTGGAAGCCAATATAAACCCAACATAAGACAAAACTAATCCAGATGTGTTATGTATCTGTTACTTATCTATGAAATAACTGCATAACAGCTTTGTGTACATATAACATTTCAAACATCATGAGGCTTTTTGGACTGACTACAACTAGTAAAAATAGTCTTATTACGTCATGTCCATCCAGGAAATTGGCTGAACCGATATATTAGAAAACACATTTTTCAGTATCGGCACCAATATCCAATTCTGGTGTCAGATCGGTGCATCTCTATTCCAGGCACAGCAACAACATCTCCATGGAGACACCTATTTAATTTTACATTTGCTTGAGAATGTTTGAAAAGGTGTGATTAACAGGCTGTAGTGTGTTTTTATAGTTTTTATTTTCTTGGCCACCCACTAAGATAATTTCAGTTTAGGAATATCACTTAAGTAGGAAACAGGCTACCATCTTCATTCCAACAAACCCATTATGGAGCATTAAAAGTAAATGGTTTCATAAAAATATGCAAGAGTAGATAACAAGGAAATTACATGGAAATCATTAAACAGATGATTCAGGGGTTTATCATGTGGGTCTTGTAAACATTTCAAGTATTTCAGTAATGGAAGGTAACAAAGTACAAACGTAAAAGTAAAATTTTTAGGTATCTGTACTTTATAAGTTTACAGTGGATACTTTTTACTTCTACTTCACTAAAGTGTGGCCATGTATCTGTACTTTGTATTCCATTACATTTCATAGCTGGACTGAAAAGTAAAAAGTACTTTTCTTTATGGTTTGAAATGGCTGAGACTTATTTTTAGCACATTTAATTTGATCCAACCAAATATGTATATTTAAAAAAACAGCTAGAAAAATTAGGAAATCAATTGACTCACTTAAAAACAACTACATTCAATAAATTCAGTAAATCAAAATCACTACATTTTATGCTTTAATTATAAAAAAAAAATGCTGCACAATACTTTAAAATTTTTACTGTCCCTGCATCTGTACTTTTACTTAAGTAGCAAAATTGAGTAGTTAATGTTTTTGCAGACTCATGGGTCAGTCTTTTGAGGCACTGTACTGTGTCCACCTTGTCCGATGGGAGAGGGGGAGAGAGGGAGAGAGGGGGGTGATAGCTCAGGTGACTCAAGATATGATTGTAGATTAGGTCCAGTGAGTCAACGCACATCTTCCAGGAACCACCACCCTTGTGCACACAAACATGCCAAGAATTCTCACAAGTCTTTGTCAAATAATGGCAGGATTTAGGATGAAAAGAGAAGCATAGAGGTTAGTTGTTTTAAAGGTAATCCTGGCAGTCCAAAGGTTCAAAGGAAGTTAACAGTACCCTCATTTGGAAATGGCCGTGACCATGAGTGCACACTCAAGGTTCATTTATTTTTATTTATTTATTTTATTTCAATCTATCAGGAAAGTAGGTTTATCAGAAAAAGTTTTGACTGACCATAAAAGTTAGTCTTTTGTTTGTATTCAGTTTAGTTTTTCCTAAATATTTGAGACACCTCACATGTGTTTTTCATAAATGTATTTTACTGAAACACTTGAGTTTCAGATTGTAGCCCACATGTCTGAAATCTGATTTACTAATATATACAAAAACAAGACAAGAAAAGATTGTGCGAAAGGAATCGGCAGAAGAAAGGCCAAGCGCCTTTCTTATAAATAGCTCACATTTGTGGTAACATCTGATAATCTTTACAATTGTCAAAAAGTTTAGTCAGATATAATGTTGAAATCAAACACTGATTCTACAAAACAATTGTAGTGTATATTTATTGTCAATTACAAAAACTTTTAACATGACATGAAAATGTACAGATTTTTTGATGTTTGTTCTTAAGCTGATTATCAAAAAGCACTGCAGAATAGTGTCTCACATTGGGTTTGACATTAGCATCAGTAAACAGCTAATGGCATCTCAGTTTCAGTTGTTTTGCTGTTTTTAAACCAGTAGAAGTGTGTGTTACAGTTAGGGTGTGGCCTTGGGCACGATATGTTCCCATAACACATAAAAAAGTGTGACTATTCATAGCTGCTAGAGAATTATTATCATAAGATTGTTTTTTATTAATGTAGTATTTCTAAGTCTATTTTCTGATCTCTGTTATAATGTTGTTTCCTCATCAAAAACAGACCTGAAGTTGTGTTTCATTGACAAATGCTTAACAAATCCTGCATAATTAGGCTGAGTCCTTCTCTAAAACTGAAAACACTTTGTATCACCTTGTGATGTCACGCGGTAATAAAGGCTCCAAAGCGTTTTTAACTCTATAACCCTTCACTAGATTCATTTGGAAACATTTCAGCCCTGAAACTCTCAATCTCTACTGAAAAAATGTAAAAGGTAGTACTTAACTTGAAAACTACTACTTCGTGACATCACAAGGTGGAACGGAGCATTTTGAGCATTAAAGATGAAAGACCTAATAAGAGTGAATGAAACAAAACACAACCCTGAGTAGGTAAAAGCATTATAACATGTCTTAAAGCTTACAAGAGTCAATTTGTGTAATATAGAACCATTCAAAAGTTGTGCAAAAGATCAAAACTAGGCGTGCCTTGCCTTGTGTGTGGCTATAAATAATAAACAACAGTAGAAGTGTTATGGGGTTAGCTGTGTGAAGTAATGGGATGTTTTGGCCCAGTTTCCCTTGTGCACAGATGTGAGGAGCGCTTGATACGGGCATCTGATCATCCCCTCTCCCACACAGCTCCGGGACAGGTTCCTGTATTGTCTTCAGGGAGGACACACACACATGCACGTGTCCAATGTTATCATGAGCAGACAATACAGAGGAACAGAAGGACAGAAACAGGAGAGAGAGTCCCACGGGGCAACTAAGACACACACACAGGCTCTCACCATGACCTCATCCCTAAAGGACTGACTCACAAATGGTTTTCAATCAGAGGATGAAATTTAATCGGGCCAACATTCTTTCAGAGCTAAAAAACTCTTTGATACCTCCAATGCTCCGAGTGCATTTCAGGTTACCTCTTACAAATCCTCTCTAAAACAGTTGCTTTGTTTTTGGTGATGTCCAGGTAATGCTAATACCCAGTCTCTTGAGCTATAGAAACCTTTGGGCTGACATATCACTGTTATTTTGTAGTGTTGATGGATTTTTTTGGTGCTTTTGTGAGTTAAGTGAGTGATTTTTAGATTGATGTATTTGTTGTATTCATACATGTATTTCATTATTAGGTTTGGTGAATGTAGTTTTGCCCCCCTCCTTGGTTCACATCTGTTGATTTGTAAGAAGTATCTGTTTTGACTAAATTTTACACTGAAATACTGTCAGAAAATGAAAGAGAGCCCAGACCACTTACCAGCTAGTTTACCCACTAAAAACACAATAATTAAAGACAATTTTAAGGGGCAATTTTACACGATTTTCTGATGTATGTTATAATGTTGTTTCCTCATCACAAACATTCCTGGAGTTGTGTTGTGTTTCATTCATGCACTTAGCACACAAATCATGCATATTTATGCCAAGTTCTTGTTTCAAACTGAAATACTCTGTTCCACCTTGCGATGTCATGTGCAGTAAGCGCTCCACTGTGTTTTCAAATTCCATACACCTTCACTAGAATCAGTTGGATAATTTCACACCTGGAATTGCCAACCTCAACTGAACTATAAAAGGTACCTGTTAATGTGAAACCTACCACTACATGACACCATAAGGTGGAACCCATCATTTTGATCTTGAGATGTAGACTGACTAATAAAGGACTATTCAAACGTGTGAATGAAACAAAACACAGGTAACAACATTATAACATGGCTTAAAGCTTACGAGATTCATCTTTGTGTAATATAGGACCTTTAATCATAAATATCTTTGCAGACAATTTTTTTCATTTTCCATAAAAATTTGTAGGTCTGAATTTTTAACTCCAGCCACAAGGGGTCAGTAAGGGGCAGATCTCCAAAAGTACCTTCAAAGCAGGGGTCTCCAACCTTTTTCCTCCTGTGAACTACCTTTACAAAACAAAAATACCAGAGAACTACTGTCACAAGAAATTGAGAAATTGAGATGCTTATAAAACATAAACCATTTATTAGCGCACAAAGTTGGGCATCAAAATTATACTTTTAGAATGGTAATAGCCAAAATTTTGTTATTCAGCACAATGCATATAATTCAGAAATCTCTTGGCGAGCTACTTGGAAGGGGTTGGAGAGCTACTGGTAGCTCCCGAGCTACAGGTTGGAGATCCCTGCTCCAAAGTATCCCAGAATGCTTTGCATTTCTTTACCATTGAGTGCACACAAATTAGTTTGTACCATTAACACAGGAATGCCTCAGTTGACATCTGTGTCCATCTTAAATTATGAGTCCATTATTTTTTATAGCTTTGGTTGTTCTTTTAGACAACTGTGCTATTTACTGATCATCTGACATCTTTGTTTCTCTTAGGTATTCCATGCATTATTGGCTTGCCATAACTTTACATTTTATTACTAGCATGTGCTGACTGCAGTTCACTAAAAGGCCACTGGTGTCATTAAAGTTTCTTTCAAACTTCCTGCACAGAAGCTCAAATCTCCAGAATCTAAAGTGCTCTTGAAAGTCTCCAAACATGTCACTACTCAACAAAAATCAATGTTTTTCCTCCTCTTTTCCACCATTAGCAACCATAGCCAAACCTGCTCCTAAAAGCCCCCCAGTACAAAAAGGAGCGTGAAATATGAGGCAGGGAAGGGATCGTGGTGGGGGAGAGGGGCAGTTTTGTTTGGTGCTGGGGGGCAAGAGGCAGCCGTGGGGGTGGGCAGGAGGGGCAAGTCAGCTCAAAAAGGAAAGAAAGAAGTACTCCTCCCCAGCGCAGCAGAGCAAGAGGAGGGGCTCTCAAATCGCTCCCCAGAGAGAGACAGTGAAGGGGAAGAGGCTGGGACTCTACTACTTGCTACTTGTTGTTGCCTGCCTCAAGAAGCGTGAGTGGTTATCCAGCTCGCAGACGCCGGTTTAAATAACTTAACATAATAACGTAATCTTAACTCTTGATTCAAACTAACTATGAAAGGGGCTAAGTTTATTTCTTAAGAGGAAAAAAGTACTTCTGAAGTGAATACAAGGACACTGGGTTGACAGGTAGGAACTCTTTGGCATTTTTTATCTGTTTAACTGCATTGATTTAAAGGTACACTGTGTAACTTTTATGATGAGAGACACTACTTGCTTGTCTCCATGGAGATGCTATTACTTTGTCTGGAATATTCCAAAATTTTGGCATTAAACTTAACTTTTTAGTATTTTGCAACTCACATGTGTTTCATGTCTGTTTTATTGTAAGTGTAAAACTTGCATTCTTAGCGGATAATGTCACTTGCTTGTCTCCATAGAGATAAATTAATAAGTTAAATTCAATGCCATACTGTGGAACACTGCAGGCAAAGCAAGTGGTAAATCCCCTATACCAGGAAAGTTACACAGTGCATCTTGAAATTCTCTTCTGCAAAACAAATAACATCACATCATTGTTATTGATTACATAAAAAAAAAATAAAATAAAATAAATCCTTTTTTATTTGTTTACCACTTGCTGGATTTGCAATTGGACTTTTGCACAATAAAAAGCAAGTGGCAGACCCTTTATACCAGAAAAGAATCTTTAAATTGTCTTTTTAATTCTCTTCTGCAAAACAAGTAATCACATTATTATTGATTACATTCTTTATGTTTTTTGTAATATTTCCATTGTTGTTGGAATTGTTTACCACTTGCTGGATTTGCTATGGGACTTTTGCACAATAAAATACCATCCCAAGGCACTGGGTGTAGCTGGAGACACGGCTGCATTGTGGTTGCTGTGATTGGCTGAGGGGAGTAATTACATGTGATGGATAAGATCAAGTGTTTTGCAAGATTTGGTCATGTTTGCTTGTTCTGTGAAAAGCGGGAATTCTTGTCTGCAGCTCATGTCTGATACCTATTTTGTGTCATGGAGGTTTTTATACAGTTAATAGTGAAGTCCCAGTTGGGAGCGGTAGACAGCAGCATTGACATTGGAAAAAAAAGGATCCATATTACACTATTTTGTGATGTTATAATGTTATATTGTCAAAAACATACCTGGAGCTGTGTTTTGTTTCATTTGTGCATATTTAACACACATAGCCTGCATATTTAGGATGAGTTGTTCTCTTGGAAATCTCTGTTACACCCATGTGGTAATAAAGGCAGTGCCCCACTGTGTTTTTAAACTCCATACACCTTCACAAGTTGAATCATTTGGATAATTTCAGTTCAAGAATTGACAGTCTCTACTGAACTAAAGGTAAAAGGGATCTGTTTTTGAGGAGGTAACAACATTCTAACATGACTAAAAGCCCAAAAGAGTCAGTTTTGCATAATATAGGACATTTCCCATCCAAATTATATAATATTTTGTTTCTAATTACTCATCTTTCAGAAAACCATAGATACATTTTTTGCTATGTGTTGTCTATTCCTGCGTTAGTATTTGATGTTAGGCTGTTAAGGGACTAATTTGGAGAAGCAGACAGGAGCAATGACATAGAGAGTAAAGTTTATAGGGCTGCGAGCGGATGTGGAACCTTTAAATAGCCATGTTATTGCCGTGTTGCATGTGGTCGCAAGCATAAAGACCGCAGGTTTGTTGTCCATTATCAATTTGACACTAGCGCTAGGTTTAATGAGTTCATGCACTGCCTTTCGAGAAGCAGACAGCAGCAATGGCATAGTGTTGTGAGTCAAGTCTGAATATGGTATAGGCTTGTTGTATGTGTATTTTGTGATTTATGTTATAATGTTGTTTCCTCATCAAAAACTGACCTGGAGTTTTGATGTTTCATTCACATATGTTTGACACACAAACCCTGCATATTTAGGCTGAGTTCTTCTCTCCAACAGAAAACACTCTGTTCCACCCTGTGATGTCTTGTGGTAATACAGGAAGTGCTTCAATGTGTTTTTAAACTCCATGCACCTTCACTAGAATCATTTGTATAATTTCAGCCCTGAATTTGCCGGTCTCTACTACCACTACATGACAAGGTAGAACAGAGCATTTGGAGTTTTGGAGATGCAGACAGACTAATAATAAAGGTTTACTGAAACAAAACACAACTCCATGTTTTTAAGGAGGTAACCATTCTAACGTAAAGCTCACAAGAGTCAAGTTTGCATAATACAGGACCATTAATTACAACTTTGGGTGGTCTGTATTGATGATATTCAGATAATTTTATGATAATCTTTTAAAATCATGTTGTAAATACTGGAACATTAACCACAAATCTGCAGAACTATCACTTTATACCTACATTTGAAAGACTGAACTGCATTTTAATGTTCTCTTTTTGTAGCCTTTTTGATTTAAATTTTTTTTTATTATAGTCTGTTTACTTGTTATTTGAAATTTGCATATCCCCAAAACAACCATTGCAATTTTATATATTTTTTCAATATTATATCTTTTCACTATCTCCCATATCCAATAAGAACTATATTATGTATATTTATGGGACACTTTGGAGGACTTTGGAGGATCACAGGGTCTGCAATTTTTAATGAAACTGTAAAGGCATGGAAACTGTCCGACCCACAAACTTACAAGTACATGTGGTAGCCATGTCGTTTGCGGTCGCTGAGATATTGGAGTTCATAACAGCGAAGATTTACGCTGGCTGTAAACATGGTTGTCAGTGTGTAATGCTCTGACAGGTGGACTGACTGAAGCTGTGACCCTTCAGTTATGAGAAGACATCTTAAAACAGAGAACCACCCACGAGACCATGACAGAGGCAGACATGTCAACGTGATGCTGTACACCAACCGTAGATTCTATAAAGAAGTGGCGTACGGGAACCAATTTGGAGCCAAGTTGTATATTAGGAAAAGGATTTTATTTACGTACAAAGTAGTGAAATAAAGCCCCAGGATCATGTAGAGCGGCTTAATATCAGCATTTTAAGGTCAAAATTATGACGCTCACTGCAGCAGTTAGAGAGAAAGAAGTGACCATTTTTTAAGGTAAAGTCAATTGTAAACAGAGTCGGAGGAGCCAGAAGTGCACCTATGTTCACTTCTTATGGGGAACACAGTGGCTCGCAGGCTATGACCATTTATATTTGCAGTCTATAACACCAGCACGTTACTCTCATACTGATCTGGACAGGGGTTGTCAAAAAACTGTTACCTAGACACTTACCAATACTGAGGCACATTATTATGAACGCAAGAGTCACTGTATACTGTGGAGGAGTACTATGACATTTGTCGCATATTTCGGTAGCTTTTTACTCATGAATGGACGTGGGCTCCTGTGTCTCTGAATGGTATTGAGTTACTGGTTTTGGTGGAGTTAGGTGTTCGGCATTCCAGCCAGCCGTCAGCACTACGTGACCTGCTGCTCTTTACAAAGACAGACTAACTCAGGCTCAGTCTCCCCTGCATTTACACGCATGTTGTTATTTTAGGTATGTGTTGAAAAGGCTCATTCACATTTTGTCTCATTCTGTACTAGATAGTTGGATTTTGATTGCTCTGTTACAACCATAACATTGCTGAAAACTACTTACTAAAGATGCAGGAAATTCATTGTTGGTAGTGATGCTTGTTCAAATTAGTGTATTATTTTGCTGCTAGTTTTATTATAGATTATTGTCTCAATACTTTGACAACCTCCTTGAAACTTCATAGCCACATGACAGAATCCATATGAAGTCATCAGGACAAATGACTCTGAAGAATTAACTGTTGTCAGATATTGTTTTTGTAACTCTGTGGTGGATTTAAAAATATCTGCAATGGTATCCTCATTTCAGACAGTCTTTGCAACATATCCCATGTAATTACAGTTTATGGCACATTTTAATTACCCTTTAGGATGTAGAAAACTCAACTGTGCAATGTCTGCAATTGAGACATTTTTGATCTGAATCCTGTTTGCTGAGATTACATGCAGATTGCATTTCCACTTAGTTTAGACATCTATCGCAATTCTCATCCAAGGGTGGGTACAGTAGCCAAACAAAGTACTCAAGTAGCTAAGAGTACCATTATTTCAAAAATATTATTACTAATGTAGAAGTAGTAATGAGTAAAACATTTTGGGGGTATTTGTAGGAAACTGTGTGGTTCTGATGTGTAATTTGAAGTTAATGTTATTGGAAAGACAAAACATTAAAATAATGAAAATGGAAAAAAAAAAAATCATATCTAAAGGAGCTGTACAAGAAACGACCGTTCAGATTTTTCATATACATATATAAAACTTGCCACCTGTACTTGTGCAAACATATTACTCAAGGAGGAGTACGGTATGGTGTGTAAAAAATACCCTAAGATGTACAATTTTACTCAATTAAGCTACATTTTCAAGAGTACTTAGATCTTATCTTTATTGGGTCCTGGTTTGAGCCCAGTCTAGTCCAGATCAGGGACACACCTATACAATATTGGTATCGAATATTGGTGCAGATACTGGAAAATTAGCTGGATGGGGTCTCAGTTCCATGATATTGGTTCATCTGATATCTTTGTTTTGCTTTTAATTGGATGTAATGAGACTATTTACAGAGTAATTTAGGCCCAGGATGTCTCCTAATAACTTTCCTACAAAGCTGTTCTGTAGTTACTTGCAAGATAAATAAGTTACATAACACAGTTGGATCAAATTTGTTAAATCTGTTTTGAGAGAAAACACTACACTGGTATTGGTTAATATCAGATGTTGGCAGATACTTAAAGACATAATATAAACTGTAAAATAAGATCTATCAATGCGTCTTTAGTCCAGATGCTAGATCTGGTTTGGTCCTATTAAAGTAATGGGTTAGTTCTGGTCTAGTCGAGGGTTAGTTCAGAATTTAGTCTCAGCTTAATTACAAATTTTATGTGATCCATGTGGTCAAAATGTAACTTATTAATATCCACCTCTGACAAGGCAAGGCAAAGCAAGTTTATTTGTATAGCAAAATTCATACACAAACTAATTAAAAATCTGTTCACAACTACACAATTCCAGTTCTAGACATTGCTTGTATTCTTATGTACAGTCATGTGAGGTGCAGGAGGCAGCTGGAGCAGTGGGTTTAAATAAATAGACCCTCATTAATATGTTCCATAGCTGCTGGTGGCCCACGCCATAAAGAGGGAACAAAGCCTGACTCTAAACGTGGTCATGTGACAGTGGACGCCATTGTTCACTTCTGGCCAGGGGTGGTTTGCCTAATGCACTCTTGTCTGTGTTTGTGTGCTCAGAGCATGCCAGAGCAGGAAGACCCTCCATCCAGCCAAAGGAAGCCCCCCTGAGCCCCCCTCAGCCCCAAATATGTTACACTAGAGTTTGTTATTCTCACTGGTTGAAAGCTAATCAGGATGCCTTCACTTGTTGTTATTTTAATTAATTAATTAATTAATATGTACTTTTTAAATAGTTTTGTTTGCACAGCATTTTTGAGTCTTTAGAAAAGTGCTATATAAATAAAATGTATTATCGTTATTATTATTTGGTTGTACATTGAGCCCATTTTGGACCTGATGTGGACTTGGTTAGGTTCTTTTCTAGTCCAGGGTTAGTCTTGTTCTAGTCCAGGTTTTTTGTTTCTGTTTAGTCCAGGTTTTGTTTTTGGTTTAGTACTGGTTTACAAGAAAATCTTTAAGAGACTAGCAGGGGTGGACAGGCTACCCGTTATGGATAAATTAATTGAGTCATGTTTAATATTTATTCAGTATTTACTCAGATTTGTTTTTGTTATATAATTAAATAATAGTTCTTCATAACAACTAAGCAAATGCTGTAATACAACTCAAAAGGTACAAAGACTGCATACAGTACAGACAATAGTCCATATAATTCATCATTGAATACACACTACTCAATTTCAATGTTCTTTCAGCCTAAAAAGTGAAGACATCATACATACCCATTCACAAATGTTTTGATGAGCTTTAAGTCACTAAAGGAGGCAAGCCCTGACATGAAATGTGGTACAAAACGTGGGATTTTGGAAACAAAAGTCCAAACCTACACCTTTTAGTATTTGTGGTTGCCCAGAGAAAGTAAAGTGGTCATGTGCAATTTCTCCTAAGGAATCAGACCAAGTAGCTGTGTTCTATTTTATACATTACAACTAAGATATTTATAACTTTGGAGAGATGCTGTCACTTTACTTTGAATATTCCATTGTTTGGCATTATTATCTTCATGAAGAAAAGATTGAAACACCACCAGGCCATTTTACAGGTCAGATTTGCGCAGAGGCCTTTTCAGTTTTTGAGCAATAAAACCACATAATTGCAAGCTAAATATATTTTAATGCTTTACTGGGGAACATCTGAGACAAAGCAATAACATCCCCATGGAGACAAGCAGGTGGCAGACCCTCCAGAGAAAAGTGTACCTTTAAGTTATTTTTTTCTGTGAACCAAAGTCATAATATTATACAGCTACAAAAATACAACCTTGAATAGAGAACACTGGTGCACAGACAGTGGAGTCTCTGGGTGGGAAACAGATTAGCAGGAAGGGGAAGTGGCCGAGTAAACATTAGGACGGCAGGCGGCTCATTTTAGTGGATTTATACAAAAATAAAACAAATATATGTCTCTCTCCCTCTTCTCTGTCCTCTCTGACTCTAGAAGTGAATCTAAAATTGTCTCACAGGGTTAAAGGACACAACTTTCCCATTGAAACTCCTGGGTGCTTAGGAAAACTGTGATCCTTCATTGTATATAATAGGCTTATAGCAGCTCTCATTGGCCAGTACAGTGTCAATTAAACAATGCTACTCTGCATTTACTGTATTGACTGTGCAGTACATACACGTTCCCTGGGGGTGTGATGCTAACTAGAGGCTCTACTCTGTCTGAAGCTCTGTTAGAGTTTAATCTGAGCTTTACTTTAACGCAATCTGACCAGAAAGAGCTGACTTACTTAGAACTACAACAGGTGAGTTTCAGTTACCTAAACAGGGCAATGAACTCATATTGATCACAGGCTCCTGAAAATGCATCCATTTTATATTTTTCTTGTGTTTTTTGATCATCTTAAAATGTTTTTGACATCGTTTGTTGATGTGTACATTGTCTGACCATGGTAACGGCTGAATGTTGAACTATATACAGACACATGTAGAACACCCCCAGCATGATGTCACTGCAAAGTATCAATATTTATTTATCGTGTTCCCAGATAGGGTTTAAGTTATTTAAACTTCAAGATGTTTGATTAAGTAGGTTTCTAAATTTAAACTTAAAAATCTCCGGTCCATGATCGATTGCGAGATAGGGCCAAAAGTTTGTTGTCAGGTTTATTATGTCTATTATGCACTGTTTTAGCAAGCTCAGATCCAGCCTTCTTTCCCTGTGTTCTGTCTGTACTGATGGCAGTGTTGAAAGATCTCATAAACCAAAAGATTAAGGGATCATCATTACCTCAAGTCCCATTTAAGCTTCTTTACTTATGTCATTCAAAAGTACACATTTTAAATTTTATAGTGGAGAGTCGGCCACCTGCTTGTCGTCTTTGAGATGTGATGCCAGTAATGTTCCAAACTTTATCAATCTTGCTTTTTATTCAAATACAGCTGTTTTTATTGCTCAAAAATACTTTTAAAAAACATGCATTCTTACTGTAAGATGGCTCGCTTCTCGACAGATCTAACCTGCAGCTTGGCCTAACCTGCTTTCCCTCATGGAGCTAGATACTTTTAATGCCATGCTGTGGAACCTGTCAGGATAAACCATATCGTAGAAGACAAAAGGTAGGTGGCAAACTCTCCAGAAAAGTTAAGCAGTGAATCTTTAAGCTTATAGAGGCTGCATCGCATTTGGTGATTTGAAGGTGCACTCCGTAACATTTCAGGTTTGGGGTTTGCTACCATGGAGATGCTATTGCTTTTCCTTTAATGTTCCACAATATGGTATTACACTTGTATATGATGCATTTATTTGATAATCTGTGTTTTTATGCATTTAAAAACATGCCTTACTGTGAGTGGGGCCACCTTTTAACAAATCTCTCGTGTAAACTGCCCTGGTGGTGTCTCCTGGTGGTGTCTCCTGTCTATGGAGACTGAAAACTTTAATGCCATACTTTGGAATACTGGAGGTAAAGCAATAACATCTCCATGGAGAAAAGTAACTGGCAGACCCTTTACCAGAAAACTTACATAGTGCACTTTTAACAAAACAAAACAAAAAACAAACAAACAGAAAAAAAACAAAACAATAAAATCAGGTTTAATTTCTGTACTAAAAAAGTATTTATCTGTGTGTGTGTGTGTGTGTGCGTGCATGCGTGTGAGCATGTGATGGGGACCAAGTGACGAGTGAACAGCTGTAGAGACGGCAGGATGCATGGACTTAAGAAAAGAAAGAGCAGAAAGAAAAGAATAATTATGTTCAAGAGTCTCAGGGACAAAGGGGAGAAAGCGAGGGATGACGAGGAGGGCTAAAGAAGTGCTGACATCATGACGGACAGATGAGGGAGGAGGGACTCTGTGCACTGGACCGGAAGAGAAAAGAAAGATGGATGAGAGAGATCCAGTCAAAAGGAGAGGCAGAAGGCAAGTTGAGACGCAGTGAGGAGTTGCATTGTCTTTCAAAACAAATAAATACTGACTTGTAATGGATTGGTGAACAAATGACAATATTAGTGATAAAATTTTTTGTAATTAGTTTAAAATCCAACTAAATTATAATAGGTAGTAATTAAAGGTCCTGTTTTAGACACATTTGACTCCTCTTGTGTGTGTGTGTTTGAGTAATCCTGGTTTAATAGTCTGTCCACATCTCCAAAACTCAGCTTATGATATCAGGAAGCTGTAGTTTTCAAGTTTAACAGCTACCTTTTGTTCAGTAGAGGTTGCAATTCCAAATGATTCTACTTAAGGTGCCTGAAAAGATGCAATAACTGCAAAAATGAAGCTGATGTTTTCATATGTTGACTTCGCCAGAGAATAGTTATAAGCTAGATGCTGCATCAGATCAATTTCTTTTTTTTTTTTTTTTTTTTACTATGCAACTTTTTCTAATTGTTTGTAGTATGTTGAGCATCTGTTTCCTTTAGCTGTAGCTGTGATTTATCTCTCAAGTAACTACAGAACAGCTTTGTATATATAAAAGTTCAAACACTGACACTTTCTGGGTCTGGGTTTCTTTTTGTTGTTGTAATATTTTCTGTTGTCTCTCTTCAAATTTGTTATTGTGACAGCAGGTCTGTTCCAACCTACTTCAAATCATACACTTATAAACTAATAAAACAGTTATTAGATACAGTAGTTGCTTTGTTGATCTCTTGTAAATCAAAGTTAGCTGAAATAGAAACAGAAATGATCTAATCCTTCCCAGCTTATCTAGACCAAAACACATTATTTTTGCTTTGTCTGTCATCATTTTAACACAACAGGATCTGTGTCAACCACTCCCTTCACTCATTTCACCAATAAATGCATTTTAAGTGTATTTATTGAAGCCAGTACACAATTGAATATCCTAGAAGCCTATTGTTACTGATACGGATACTTGAATGTTTTATAGTTACCAGGGTGACACAATGCACACATTAGCAAAAACTGCCAAAAAGTTTTAAGATAGTTTGGAAACTCAATTTTTAAAAAAACAAACTCATTTTCGGGAGCCTGTGATCAAAACAAGTGTTCATGGTCCTGTTTAGGTGTTGCAACAAAAGGTTGAGAGAGACTGATCTGTTGGCTAATACGTGCTGGCTTGTGACTGTATTTTTACAACAAATTAGCTGTTGTAGTTCCAACCAAGCCAGCTCTTTCTGTTCAGATTGTGTTAAAATAAAGCTGAGATGAAGTCTAACATGAGTAATAGAGCTTTGAACAAAGTAGTGCTTCGAGTTAGCTTTACATCCCCAGAGAATGTTGATGACATCAGCTGCAAAGTATCTAAAAAAGCACCCATTTTGTACCCTTTTAGCTCTTTTCCATCATGAATACTTAATGTGTAGGATTGTTGATGTTGTCAAAGTATTCAGTGAGTCTGCAGTGGTGTAGCCTATAGGGGGTTGGGACAGATGGTAGGGGCCACACACAAATACACTTGAGGCAGCTGACCGTCACTCCCTCGGGCTCTTATAATGGACCCCACCCCTCCCCTCTCCCACTCCCATATCCACTGGTCGTTGTGGTCCTTGAGGAATCCAGTGTTTGACCCAGCATGCCTTCACAGTCCGACCTCCATTGTTCTTACTGTAGCCTGTCTCGTGTGCCGGGCTGAAGTGGATAAGAGCTTGTTTGAATGTGTTGAAGTGTGGTCAGCTGTGGCCTAGTCCCTCCTACCAGTTTATTGACAGCCATCAGAGCATGCTCCACTGACCTACTTCAGCCTGCTTAAAACTGGAACTGTGTTAAGTGGAGACATTTAAAGAAGTTGATTTCATATAATGTAATATAATAGTAATATATTATACATTTGCTGGAATCATTTACAGTCATTTATTTTAATATTTATTTTTGTAAATTCCCAAATCACATACAAAATGAAACAGTGAAGTGAAACAACAGACAAGCAGATGAACCAACATTCACTGCACAAACTAAATAGCAATAACACAAACTAAAATAGTTAGATTTTTTATCCCCCATTCTGTTCAGACTTTCAAGATATAAAAACAAATTTTTAACATTTAATATAGTGACAGTTCAATCAAGTGTACTTTTGTGGATAACCTAAGATTGTTTGTATTGATTTTTGTGTGTGCGTGGGTGGGTATTTCTCACATTGTAAGTCATGGGGATCTGACTTCCTTCCTTCCTTATGAGACAAAAATCAGGTCCCTATGATGTAATTCCTTTATTATTAGATCTACAATATGGTTTAAAGTTCAGGTATGGGTTAAATAAGGTTAAGGTTAGAGTTTGGGTTGAGGTTTGGCAAGCAGTAACTATGGTCAGGTTTAGGATTTGTCTCGAGGATGTGAATCTAAGTCATTGTAACATCTCCACAATTTGGTAAGCTTTACTGATGCACAATATGGTCAACAGTGCGGATCAATGCTGTATTGGTTTCAGGGACTGACCAGGGCAGACACAAAGTTCAAAGGTTGACCCTCTCAGTATGAGGTAATACTTTAGATATTAGGTAATGGAGTCACTGGCATCAGCAACACAACAGTATAATGTACTTTTTTGTTTGTATTTGTAGTGGTGTGATATCAATACATAAGTCATGAAGTGATATCAGATGATACTAGATTTAAATGATTAATTTAATTTGACTTTTGAGAATACACTCATGGGTCCAACAAAGGATTAAAAGATTTTTTTTTCCTACCAATTCAGGTATTTGACCATTTCACCCAGAAAGTTACAGTTACGATAGGCTACAGTTTGAAACCTTTCCTTTTATAGCCCTTGTTTTTCTTCTGAAACAACACGACAGAGGAAAGAATTTGCTGTACATCTGGCCAAAGCTGTGTCTGTTTGTCTGCATCTGGAGTGTGCAGATCCAAACCAGTGTTTAGCCTGAAGCACAAAAGCAATGATCACAATCTGCCACCACAAACAGTAGCCCCGCTCTGAGTCTGGATGAGATTAGGACTGTCACGACGACTACATCTGAAGTGTAATAAATTGCTTCAGAAAATACCACAATAAACGATCATTTTGAAACTACTTTATGCCATTAAAACTAAAATACTATATACTAAAGCTACCTTTAAACCTCAGTGAAATATTTAAAACACATTATAAAAAACATGAGCTGAGAATAAATGTCCCCTCGGCTCTCATTTCAGTAAGAAGATTCCAGGTTTGACTATGGGGCTGCTTGTTACATGTCTCTCTCTGCGTCTGGTCACTCTGGTTTCCTGCATCAAGCCAAAACATGAACCAGAGGTACAATCCTCCAGCTAAGGTAGTCCTGACCAAGACTAGTTCATGATCTGGAGATGGGTCCCTGGGGTGCCCACTGCTCTTGACTGGTTGCCCCAGCGGCATTGACGGATGGGTCAAATGCAGAGGACAAATACTACAAATACATATTATATATTTACTATTATATATTTACTGGGCCTGTCACAGTAATTAATATATTGACTTACTGTTCAACATACCAAAGCTTTTTGGGGGCTCAATTTTATCAAGGTTGAATAAGTAACTTATTTGATGCATTACAGACACAAAGTACTTAAGTGTTTTATTCTGCTGTATATTTATTACTGCTCGAGTTTAAATCTGCTCTTGGGCTTTTGCATAAATTATATTATATCGTGTCCAAATGATTTCCCTTTCTGAATCAAAAAAGTTTGTCTAAGTCTAAATTGGTTTCATTATGATAATTTATCTATATTTACTTCACAAATATATCACACTTCAAAATTTGTTATCATAGGCTAATCCTAACCGTAATCTTAGAAGGCACGTACAAACCTAAAAATATTGTTCCTTTATCTTCATTACTGAATGATAAGTTGGTTTACTAATTATCGTGACAGGCACAGTTGAGATTAGGATTTGGGAGTGCCCCGTCTGCCAACGTGTTCAGAAAATGATATTTCATTTTTACTGCATGACTAACAGCTGGTGATGACTGACTCAGGAGTGCACTGTCCACTCATCATCCACACAAAGCTGGGGAATTTAACAGGGAACTGCCCACTGTTTCCACCACTGTCAACTGAACCTGGACATCTTTGAGTATTTATATCTGCTCGTTTATCAGTAACATGGCAAAATGGAGCCAGAAATAGTGTTTTCAAATGGTGCACCGTTTGTTTGGGATGGAGGCGGTACAATGCACTTTTGGGAGTTGCGAAAATGCATTAGCAGCAGTGGCGCTACCAGGTTATATTGAGGATTCCTATAAATATTTAATAAAACTGCAGAAGCTAAGACTATTTATAAGATGATGCATTTAGCTACGTGAGACAGGAGACAGTAGATAGAAGTATGATAGTTTACCACAAAACTGGTGTAAGTTTGGAAACAATGCATGTTTTTTGTCCTTTATTGTTGAAACTTAGAGGTGTCAAAATTATTTGGATTATCAATTATCAATCATAATACATAATACAATTTAGATTTGCACTGATCCAGCTTTTTCCCATACTTTTGATTCCATATTCTATATATCAACCAATACCAATGTAGAGATTGATACCAACATTCATTTTCTTTATAAAACACTGATCCAAATGTGTTATGGAGCTCTTTGTTAAGTCTTAAATAACTACAGCTCTGTATAAATAAAAATTCAAACATTATATTTCTGGGCCAGTTAAAACCAGAAAATACTCGAATTATAACTTTTTATATGCCAGTTAGGATATCGAGTGAACCAATATGTGGAAGCAGATATCCATTCCAGCAAATTTTTCAGTATTGCTGCCAATATTGGATACCAGTATCGGATCGGTGCATCTGCAATACAATTGTATGAATAGTAATAGTTTTACATGCATAAATATGTCAATCTACACTCCGATGAAGTAAAACTAAATATTAAATGTTTTATCAGACTTTTTATGTCACATTAACTTTATAATTCAGGAACTTTTCATAAAGCTGTTTTACGTGACATTAAAAATTTGATATGGCATTACAAATTAGCTTTAATATTGTAGATTTAGGAGTATAGGTTTATGTCACTGATTCTTATGCAACAACAGTTCCTTCTTCCCTCCCGTGGGCTACTTGTGTACCTCATAACGTTCACCCGAGTGTTCTTATATTTGTTTGTACTACACCTTGTACTGTATCTCTTTACCAGTGTGTCATATATCACAAACGTTTATGTCAACCACCTTCAGTGTTTTTGAGCTCAGATTTCGTAGAGCAAGATGACACTCAGCCTTATGATGTGTTTCCACAGTTACATAATGCTATTTTTGAGGTTATGCTATATCTCTGCACACTGTAACCAAATACTTAAGACCGTTGTTGTGTTTTCATAGAGTTGAGGATGATGGCCGAAGGGCGTTTTGCCAGTCTGCCCCGCTCCCTGCACCACCCCTCTCTGGGAGGAGGGGGGGCCCACACTCCTCTGACCGGACCCTCGTACTCACTGGGGGCCCCAAACACCTGCTCATCCCGAAGGCTACAGGGGTCACTGGCCTCCTCCATGGACCTGCTCAGCTCCAGGTCTGGGTAAGTGTACATGTTACATTTTTGTTAAGTAATGTGTTGTGCAACATAAATAAAGGTGCACCATGTAACTTTTCTGGTGAATGCCAACAACCTGCTTGTCTCCATGGAGATGTTATTGCTTTGCCTGTATTGTGCTCACATAATATTTCCATGGAGACAAGCTGGTGAACCCTCCACCCTCCACCAAAAAATTACATTACAATGCATTTTCAATTACATTTGTTAAAATATAAATCAGTTTAAGATTAGTTCAGACTCATATATTTCTGGATGGAAATTTTAATGGCTGGTCAAGAATGGGTAAGTAAATTTAAATATTTATAACCTACATTTTATATTTCATTCACAGTCTTCCATCAGGCCCGGGTGGCAGCCTATCAGAGCTCTCTCCTTCATCTCACCAAGTGTCCATTCATGGCACTCTCCCTCGACGAAAGAAAGTGGGACACACCCTGGTCCAGAGCAGTTACACCTGGGACCCCCGTGGCAAACACTACCCCACTCCCCCTCTAAGCCCTGGGCCTGTCCAGCCTCTGCAATCTCCGCTTGTCCAGAACATTAAAGAGGACTTCCACGGATACAGGTAATGGTGTTGTTGTCTTTTACTGTGTTAGGGTTAAATTACCTTGCAAGTTTTGTCTGTGTTAGAAGTTTGAAGACCTGTTATGATTGAAAATCATATTTTATTTTCTTGAATTACTGTAGATATGAGATTTCTGTATAGGTACAATATTTAACTTTCTGGAGGTGGCATGTCACCATGGAAACAGACAGTTGAAACCATGTTTTGGAACATTCTTTTACAGTCAAAGGAACAACTTTTTCATGGAAACAAGCAGGAGCAGCTTTATTTTAGTCTTTTTTTCAGCTACAAAGTTACATTCTGTGACTTTAAAAAGTTATTATACAAAATCAATCTACAAAATCTGTTCCTATTCTTACCTTACTTTAGTAATAAAATTAACTAATACCATGACAACAACAACGCAGATTAATAATATAGGATTACTCAAACACACCTCCAGGTATGTTTTCGAGGAGGCAACAATATCATAACATGGCTTAAAGCACACAAGAGTTAATTTTATGTAATAGAAGACCTTAAACATTTTAGATCAAGGTAGCTTGAGTTTCCCCCAATAAATCGCAGGTGTTTGGGATGAAAGTGTGGCTGATATAGTGCTGTGGGGTGTATGCAGTTTGAGCTAGGACTTCACAAGCACCACAGCTCTCATCCCTCATCACGTCCTCCCATCTCTCCATCTCCTGGGTCCAGTTACAGAAGGCTGGGTCTGATAGGGCCAGCTTTGTGACTGTATGAGGATCGCAGTGTGTAGCTTGGAGCATTTGGGCAGGCTTTGTGGGTCAGGGTGTGGTGGAGCAGAGAACACATCACCATCACCTCTTTGTGCACTGGACTCTAACTGTCGAAAGGATACATTTCAGATTTTTGGCTCTGTTGACGTATCGCTCCACAGGTTGGATTCTGCAGGTGGCTACATAATAAATACTCACTTTTTGTTCGTTTTTGATCCCTACTGTAGAGATTAAACAGCATTTGTCACTCTGTAAACTATACTTTTCAGCATCAAAGCCATTTAACTTGGATGAATAGGCTACCTGTAAGCAGCTGGCAATATGAACAATAGAGATTTTTTTTTATCATTCCTTTTGTAGGGTAAACTGTAGTATTGAAGAGAAGAATCATGAGGCTGCCATTCTTACTCAGGAGAAGCTTATTTTTACTGACCAACAGTACAGATCCTACTACCCAGTGACGCAAACCCTCAAGATATTGCATTAATGTTATCCATTTTAGTCGAGTCTGGCTATACTTCTGTTGTGGGGAGTATTATACCTCTGATGGCAAAGGCTAAGATAACAAGGAATGAGCAGTCAGTTAGAGCCCTCAGTACAGCACAGAAAAGGTCTAACAACAATTAAGGTCTCACAATCCCAATGATAGCATTCCAGTCCATCTGAATATAATATAGTATATGTGCTAAAATATCCTTCTTTTAGTCTAGTATGGCATCAGTCTATCCTGCATTTATTCAGTTATAACATTTTATTGCTTGAAAAACATGCTTTCTTGTTGTGAGCGGGGTCACCTCTCCATAGATTGGACCTGTAACTTGGCCTGATGGCATCACCTGCTTATATGTATGATACTGTGGAACATTCAAGGCAAAGCAATAACATCATCATTGAGACAAACAGGTGTGGGACTACTACCAGTAAATTTCATCTTTAAAAAGTTAAACTGGTAACATAATTCAAATGCCAGACATGTTAAAAGTACACTAAAGTCTCTATTTTAGTAGGCAAAATGCACTATGAAACCATCTCTGAATTTCTATTAAAATGTCTGTCTTCCCCGTAAAGTATTTAATGGGCCTTTATGTAAGCTGCTACAGGACGGTCCAGACACATGGACAGTTGGTCTTGACTTTCCATTGCTCATGTTGTCATCTGCCCCCTGATCTCTGACCTTATGTTACTCTAGCTCCCATTGGTCGGTTTGTCTTTGAGGAGACCTCTGTGGGCTGCTCTGGAGACCACCATGACAGAAGGGGAGTGTGGGTAGAAAACAGTTACAGACAGTTACACACATTTTATGGTACAACGCAAAGGGCAGATAGAGCCTATAAGAGAATAAACTACGTAAAAGATCTATACGATATATTGAAATATGGATAGTATCGCAGTTGTTGTTTTAGAGATATGTTAAGATATGTCCATTAAATATATATTAAAAAAAACTATGTAATCTTCTAAATAAGATTTTACAATAACATTTCTGCACTTTGTTGTTTTGTTCAGTGAAAGTTGAACCAGAATATTGTCTGAATGTTATTCTCTGTTCCTGTTAAGGCAAAACACATATAATTAACTAACTACTGGAAAACTAATTACATTCACAATCCAGGTTATGTATCTTCCTATTGCTTTTTATGGCTCTATGGATACAATACTAGATCATAGCGCCCTCTGTTGGCCTTCTAGAAACACTGCACCCTTCACTCCCACTTTATCCCATACTAGTACATGTTGGCTTTCCATGATTTTTGGGGATATTATACTGACTTATATACATTTTCTCAAGACAGTTACTACTTGCCTAACCCAAATCCTAACCTTAACCCAAATTTCAGAACTTTAACGATGCACTGTGTACCTTTATTGGTAGAGGGTCCTCCACCTGTTTAAATCTATGGAGATGTTATTGCTTTGGGCTGGTATGTTCTTCTACACTATGGCAGTAAATGTATTCATCTCCATTGAGACATCACCAGAACAGTTAACAGGTCAGATCTGTGAAGAGGCGAACCCAGTAACAGTAAGAATGCATGTTTTCAAGGTATGTTTCAATTAAACTGTAATGAAATAAATGCAAGACAGAGGTTTAATGCTCTATTGTATATCATTTTAGGTAGGAATACCATCTTTAGGGAGATAAGTAGCTGACAGACCAGAAAAGCTACACAGTGTACCCTTAAATCATGTTGTTGATCTAATAACAGGATTTACATCGCAGAAACCTGACCTTTGTTCCCATAAGGTCAGGACAGGTTCCTATAATGTGAGTGAGTTTACAGATTTTAGTCCCCACAATATAATAAAAATCCACCCAAACACTGTGAAGTCAGCTGTGGTCAGTATGTAGAACAACAGGACAGAAAAAGACTGTGGCGTGGTGCTTTTCCTCTCTCTTCAACTCTTTCTTTTCGTCTTCTGTTTATTTCTTATGTGTCTTTTTGCAGTGTTGTGGTCATAGGAACAGAAATCCCCAGCTCCAACTTGCTGTATGGGCAGAAACAGTTAAAGTTAGCAGTGGTCAGCGTGTGAATGGCTGGAATGTCTGGACCAGGCTATGTCACGTTGACACTAAAGAACTGCAGGTTTATCAGCTTCAGACAAATAAATACACAATTAAGCACATCAACACTAAGCTTAATCCAGGTCCCATAAGACAGGGTTGAGTTAGGGCAGGAGGTTTGACAAGGGGAGACTAAAGAAACATTTTACTAAAGATAAAATACATAAAACTGTTTTGTGTCAAGTGAACGGATGCCAGAGTGAATTTATTTTTAGAAAAGTCATAACCAAAATGTGAGGGGTAACAGGGTGACATATTACTGATAACGGATTGAATGTGAGGTTTAAGACATGTTATCATAACCTGTTATCTTCTCAAAAACATACCCAGATGTCTGTCTACATCTCAAAATGCTCTGTTCCACCTTGTGATGTCATCAAGTGGTAGTTTTCAAGTTAACAGCTACCTTTAGTTCAGTAGAGATGTGCAGTTCAGGGGATGAAATTATCAAAATTATTCTAGTGACTGAGTATGGAGTTTAAAAACACAGTGGAGCACATCCTGTATTACCACATAACATCACAAGGTGGAATAGAGTGTTTTCTGTTTGAGAAAAGAACTAAATATGCAGGGTTTATGTGTTAAACATGTGCAAGTGAAACGTAACACAACACCAGGTATGTTTGTGATGTGTAAACAACATTATAACATAGATCAGAAAATAGTGTAATATGGGCCCTTTAATGCACATTTGACAGGTCACAGTTTAAAACCTTTTTTGAGTTGTGTTAAGTAAAATATCACAATGTTACCCTATTTACATACAAAGATGCTCAGTTAAAAGGAATGCATACAACTTCTTGGTTATTTTTCTAAGAGGGAGGCTTGGGTTTGTGCATGAACTTTGACCTCTGTGAGAGTGAAAGGAAAAATGCCAGTTCAGAAGTCTTTCCAGTTGGGTTGTATGGGTGGTGTCTGGTATGCAGGTGATGGTTCTCTCTGTACCACCTCTGCACTGGGAGAGGCTTTGACAGGCAGATGGTTGCCGTGGTGAAGTCTGTGGGCCAGCAGCTTTACACAGATAAAATTCATTCTGCACTGTAACTGGGTTAGGCATCAAACTGAATGAATAAGTATTTTTAGAATACACTCAATAATATTCAGATAAAATTATGAAAATTTATCAGACAAAAAATTGTAAAATGCACCGTTTAATATTTTGCTTTAGGTTGAGCAAATTGACTACATTTCAAAAAAAAAAATTATAATATTTCCTGTCATATAGAAAATATTCAGAATTCAAATCCATTACTAGCTGTGTGTGCACCTCAGAGTTACTATTCAAGTTTCAAGCTTGGTCAATGTAGTATACATTTATTCAGGCTTGAAACTTGGACAAAAAACAAAGTTAAAAGTACAATATGAAACTTTTCTGGTTGGGCTTTGCCACCCACTCTTACATTCTTGATGATTTGCCTGGAGTGCTTTAATTGCTGAAAGAATACCTTGAAAAACTTGCAATGACTGTGAGTGCAGTACAGTCATATTATGTGATATTCCAGGCAAAGCAATAACATCTCCATAGACACAAGCAATGATACTATAATCTAATTTTTCCACCAGAAAAGTTGCACCTTTCCATTAAAAACATAATTGGTGAGTGTGTTTCTAGGTTCATCTAAATTATCTAACTACCTTTCCGTAACATGTCAAGTGTCATATTTTATAGAAAGTATTACATTCACAGCTTGACTCACAGAAAATGGCTTGGGGAGTCTGTATTGTCTTGGTTACTGCTGTGTGGCCTTTGTGTGAGGACATCTGATTTATGCTGTGGAGCTGACAGGATGTGTTGGATTAGAGCGTCTGTTGACATCCACAGTCTTATTCACTCTGATATAAAATGTGAAATCTCCCGTGGCGACATCAAACAGCCCCCCACTCACCACCTTCATGAATAATAGAAACATAGTGGTGTGAATGGAGGCCTGTGCTGAGTTACGTAACTAAATCCTTCTCATTATATCGGACCATATTAAAAGTAGAAGATGTAAAGCTAAACGTAGTTGGTTTGATAAATGCTACAGTGTGCTAATATTCCCGTGGGAACACCAGCACAGGCTTAAGAGATTTCAACTACCAACCTTTCCGAATGCAGTTGGAGATTTGAGCTAATTACCACTTTCACAGAGTACTTGGCTGCTGTCCCTGCTCCACTGTAGATAAAGCTGATCTGTAAGCTTATGAATATGTTTAAACCTTAATTAAAGTTGTAATTTGTAACTTTTATAGTGAAGGGTCCACCACCTGTTTGTCTATTGAGATGTTATTTCTTTGCCAACAATGTTCCATGGTATGACATTAAACTTCTTTATCTCTATGAAGACAAGAAAGTAATACAAGAAAGGATGGAACATTGTACGCAATTGTAGTGTAAGTGTTCAGGGTATAACTGTACTGTAATTTGATAGAAATGTAAGATAGATACGTTTTTAATGCTATACTGTGGAACATTCCAGGCACAGAAATAACTTCTCCATGGCGACAAAGTGGCAGATACCTCACCAAAGTTACATAGTGTAGCTTTTTTATAAATAGCCATCTTACAAAATGGTTGGACTTTAGGCTTTAAAAGTTTGTGTTACAATAATAGAATGGGTCTTTAATAAGAGGCTTTTGAGTGGCCCCATGATTCCAGATTATCTGCTACTTATATTACTGCTACTTAAAACTATTGTACTAAAGATTATTATTTGAACAATTGCATTTATTAGTTGTTGAAGTAGGTCTGTGCAATTAATTACATTTTGAACATGATCAACTCAATAACCCAATAATTTTTAACTGAAAATGGTCAGCTTGGGTCTTTTTGATCGAGAGGTATACAGCCAGTCCTATAGTCAGTCAGTCAAAGCATGTGGTTTGAAGCAGAGTTCAGACTCAGGAAATTAATATTGAAAGCCATTTTTATTAGTTTTTTTTTTTATATTACACAATAAAATTAAATCAATATGAAGGGGAAACAGTATTGTTACTTTTTTCCCCAACTCTACTTTTAAAGGTCCTATATTCCAAAAATATACTTTTGTGAGCTTTAAGCCATGTTATTTGAGTAACCCTTTATTACTAATCTATATCTCCAAAGCTCAAAATGCTCTGTTCCACCTTGTGATGTCATGCAGAGGTAGTTTTGGAGTGGAGCACAGTGGAGCACTTCCTGGATTAACAAGGTGGAGTTTGTGAGAAGAACTGAGCCTAAATATACAGGGTTTGTGTGTTTAACATGTGTGAATGAAACAAGACACAACTCCAGGTATGTTTGTGATGATTCAACAAAGTTATAACATGGATCAGAAAATTTACTATAGTGTAATACGGGCCCTTGAAGCTGACAGTCATTGCCAGAATTGCTAAAATACTGCAGCTTGTGTGTTGTAACCTTTCTGTGAATTTGCCAGTGGACTCTGAGGCCAGTTCATGTGGATGTGATGTGTGTTTGATGGGGGAGGAGATACGGATCTGGGAGGGAGCAAAGCCAAGGCAGACCCACAAGCACTGCACATGTTTACCACTGAAGTCAGGGAAAGCTACAGGCACAAATATACAGTGAATGAAACTCAAATTTGACTTTGTTATCACTGGTCTAGTAAACTCTGAATTCCCTAAAATGGGGCCTAAGTAAGATGTATGGATCAGTGATTTCACAAAGAACCAGCTTGTGTTAAAATATACATAAATTGGAAATTTGGAAATCAATTTTTTTTTCTGCTACTGGAAAGATGTGTTCATTGAATCGGACCCTATCTCTGTCTTTTTTCCCCAGGGACCCCACCGCAGGCCTGGACACAACTGTGGACTATGTTAAGGTAAGGAACACTGCATTGACTACCACTTGTTTTTAGTATTAGTTCATAAACTTACTTTGTTTAAGCTGGTTCCTAAGCATCTTACCATGTCACGGGAACTTGCTATGCTATCCATGAGTTACAGAATGATGGAGGATTGCTGTCGTAGCAATTAACAACTGTGTTTATATTATATTTATTATATTATATTATATTATATTATATTATATTATATTATATTATATTATATTATATTATATATATATTATATTATAACTGTCTAGAATATGTATAATTTTAAATTAAGATGAAGGATAGGTCAGAAATTTATGGTAGAATCTGTTGTCATGTTACAGAGTTGTTGACCTGGTTCATGGTTAATATCTCTGTAATAACTGGGCCTACATGAAACAAAAATTGGCACAAAGTTCAAAGTTAAATTTTTTCTCTGTCAGCATAGAAAAACAAAAGGGAATTTATTTCTTCACATAAACTTCAGAAGGTGTTGCTGTCTTTCAGTCCCAAAGATGTGATTGTTGTCAGTTGAAATGACGTTGAGCAATAAGGTCAATCTCAGTTGTGGGTTATAAGTTTGGTGATTTCTTTCAAGACCAGTGAATTTCCAATCGCTCGAAACAGTCTTGATTGAGCCCTGTGAACATAAAAGACAACATTCCATCTTCATCAAAATGTTGCCTATAACAGACCCATGAATACAGTGAAAAACACTGTCTATCTTGAGTCATATTCACATGTAGTTGTTGAATCCATACAGCTGCTGACATGTGAAGGAGATTTTATGTTCTTGGTAGGGGCTGTGCACGATGCCAAAAAGTGCAACTTGTCATTTTCAAAACCTCAAACTCTTCACCCCAATGTAAAAATATAACTGTTCTCGTTCCCATGACTATATCTGTATATATCGTAATCTGGTCCCCAGCCAGATCTAGTGTAGCCTTTTGTTGAGTTTAGATAAGCATGCAAAAATATATAGTACTTTAGATAAGTGCTGTCAAGATATAAAGACTTCAAACTCAATTCCTATACTAACGAAAATACTTCAGACTCACTGATTTAGATTTTTACAGCAAAGATAACTTGAAACACTTTACACAACTGAAGGTCATTTTGATTAAAAAAGTTGCAGTGTTAATAGTTTAATTTAGTTTAGTTTCATAATTTTGTTGTCTAGAGTTACCGTATAGTAGAATATAGATCAAAACCAGTTGAAAACTAGTCAGGAAAGATGTTCAACTTGTGCGTATTCTACCGGTACTCCTTCAGGTGGTACTTGGACATCTCTTCAGTTTGTGGGTTTGCCTGATTTAGAGTTAATTTTATCTAAGTTTTATTTTCCTTTGGATAATTTGTTGTTTATAACTAAAGAGGAAATGATGTAAGTCCATTTAAGACCTGATTCAGCCCTAGAATAGACCTGTAATAGGTCTGTTATCTTCTTACTTGATTTAGATCTGGTGGTACTTAGAAAGCCAAATATTTTCCTTGGTGGTACTTGGTTTGAAAAGTTTGAGAGTCACTGGTATAATAAATGATTTTTAAAAAAAACTTTCAAATATCCAATATCTGGATCAAATATCTGGTTTTGATACAAGTATTGGTATTGATTAGTATCCCAGAATTGATTATTATCTGAGTATTGATTAGTATCTGTGTATCTTTTTTTATTTCTTTTTGGACCTTTTGTGCAACTCTACTTTTGTGCAACCCCATTTTAGATATAAAATATATTGTCCATCCTGATATAGGATCTAGCAATGACTTAAGAAGATGCACAAGCCATGTTTCAATGTCACTGGTGTCAAAATGGGGTCCAGTTGTCCCCTGGTCCAGAGGATAATTTACCTCTAAATCAAACAATGTCACAGAGAATTGGCTGTAAATTTCACTCACAGATGGAGCGTGTGGCAGCAGCTGCACCTGAGTCTGCCTCTGTGAAAAGGTGAAGAGTGACGGGCCATGATTCACCCATCACATAATCATCAGGCCCACACAGGCCAACGCACACATGGGCTGTTTTCCTTTTGTTACATCTATCATTAAATTATTGGAGAAAAATAGTACGTTGTTTAAAATCAATTTATCCTATAGACTAAAATGACCTGAATTTTGTTGAATTGAGAAAATATTTACTTAAAGGTTTGGTCACAAATTTTTGTCCCAAACATATATGGAAAGAAATATCATCTTTCTGTCTCTGAATTTGTATTGGTTGATCAGTAGATACGTTAAAGACTCTGTACCTGATTTGGTTTTATGTATTAAATTTGTTTTAACCCAGGTTCTAAATAAAACCACTATGTGTTGTCTGCATTTAATTATAAAGCATTTCTACTGTCCATTAACAAGGAAGTAATTCTGGTGCGCTGTTAGCATGCTTGTTTTTGTCAGTACTGTAATGGGAATCCTCTGCTCTGGTCTCTGAAAGCTTTGAAAAGTGCTCATTAACTTACTGCTGTGAATAATTAGGATGCTAAGATTGTGAAAGTGAGGAATAACTTGGTAAAAGTGCAAACTGTATAAAATGAACTAGTTTTGCTGAACTGTAAAAGCTGAATTTCTCTCAGGTTAAAAAATCCAGTGATAGGCTTACTGGCAAGATGCAAGGCAAACCAATTTGTGTTAATGTGTTTGTGTAAAATGTGACAGTTAGCAAAGAAATGCCAGTATTTACTCCAACCAAACACAATCTTTTAGAGCTGGATTCTTAGATAATGAATTTAGCCTGCATTCTTGCTTTCTCTTTCATTATAAAAGATATGACACTGAGGCCCAGGGACACTTGAATGGATGAATTACATCTGTTATGCAGCATGAGCCCTGTCAGTGTAATTGAGGAAATGACGTGAGCATGGCTGATATGACCCTGCAGAAGCCTTCACCTCAGTGTCATGGTACTTGTAATTCTCGAAGTTTATGTGTCTTTTTAAAGGTATTTGTCATTTTTATAACATCAGTGTACTTTATTTCATAATGTTCTTTCTGCTATTCATTGGGTATGCACAGATACTAATACTAGTATCAGATATCGGCACCAATCTTATATCCTTGTTGGGCCTTTAAAGGTGTATTGTGTAACTTTTCTGGTGGAGGGTCAGTCAAATGCTTTTCTCCATGGAAACGTTATTGTTTGTCTGGAATCTTTTACAGTATGGTATTAAGCCTTTCTATCTCCGCGGAGACCAAACCAGACCAAGTTACAGCTTAGATCTGTGGAGAAACAACTCTGCTCACAGTCAGAATGCCTGTTTTTGAGCAATAATGTCTCCATGGAGAAAAGCATTTGGTGGACCCTCCATCAGCAAAGTTACACAATGCACCTTTAATCAGATGTAATAAGACTATTTACAGGCTGATTTTGGCCTAGAATGTCTCATAATGTTTTAAGTTTTATTTATAAAAAGCTGTTATTTGGAGGATAGATTATGGTAGATAACAGTTACTTAGCACAACTGTATCTGTTGTGTAATAAGTTAAATGTGTTTTTGGGGGAGAGGCTGTTCTCGGTCCCTACTCTGGTTTTTGTTCAATTCTGGTATGGATCAGTCCATCCCTAGTATTCACAATAACATATTAGTTAAACTGACCTTAACAATATATTGATAATAGATACTTTTGGCATATTATATTGACATAAAGTAATTACATTTAGAGCTAATCAATGTGCATTGATTAGCTTGGTGTTTTTTAAAGGTTATGTCTACAGTAGGCCTAGCCAGGCTGGCACCACCTAGTGCCTCTGCTTAATTTCATTTCTCTCCAGTGACTAGGTCAGGAATCAGAATGCACTAGACGGTTTGCAAGAACCCTGGAAGTGCAAGTCCAGGCACCAGCCAATCAGTAAAGAGCCATATATTCTGTGTTGGCAATGATTTGTGAGAGCGAGTATTTAAAGCCGGAACAAATTTTGAAAAAAGCTTAATATACCAGTTAGCCCCGTGAGCGGAACGTTACATATGCCGCGATTGATTAAATAAAAAAACTACCCGCGTTCTGTTGAGTGAACGAATCGTAATGCGAGGTCAGACAGTTTCCACAAACCATCTGACAATTCAACAGCAATTCAAAAAGTCCGACTTGTCTTTAAACCGTGTAATTAAAAGTCATAGTTATTTGTTTTTCAAAATAAACCACAAAATTGAATGGAAAATTTAAATTGATCAATATGAGAAAAAAAAAGCTTTTGTCATGTCGCATAGTTAGCCCTATCCATGGATTTCAAAATGACAAGAAGTTAGAGCCATTGACATAGGGATTCAAATTTGTAAACAAAATCTTATATCTTTTGAATGATAAAAAGTCCTCCAAATGTGCAACAGGAAGTTGAAACTGAGTACTTTAGTTAGTTCAGTTAGTTCATAAACTGTTATAATATATGACGTGTAACCAGGACACACTTTTAAACAAAGCCAGTGTAAACCTATGGTTCATTAGCTCTGTCCATTCATGGCCTCATCCATCAGTTGTGTCTTTTCTAACATATCTGCTGCAGTGTTTGGATGCTGTCACCGTGGTGTGAAAAACAAACCCAGAGCTTCCCATGAGCCAAACATCTATCCTGCTCTTTTGTTTGTGACTGTGGCCAGAGAGCTTGTGTCAATACAGTGAGCACGGGTCATATTCAAAAACCACTGTATCTTGTGTAATATATCATGAAATACAGCTGTCAGCAAAGCAGGTGTGTTTGCAGAGGCACAAATGTCCACACGTCTATCGGTCGCCCACTCAGACAGTCAGGGGTCAAAAGTACAGCCCCCACATCAGGGCAATGGCCTTTACAGAGTGCACTTCAATATGGACTTAAGGGCTGTGGTTACATGCACACTCAAAATCATATTATTCTCAGATTTTATTCTCAGAGTTATAAAATGATTAAAATTATATGTACACTGAAAAATCATTTAATTTCTTTCTAATTGTGGTACTTTCACCTAGTGGTGGAATATAACAAAGTAAAAGTAATAAAATACTGTACTGGAAAGGCTGAGAGGTTTATTTTTAAC